ACACACTGTATACACACTGTACTACACACTGTACTACACTACATGAACTTTATATATTAATGTCTGTCTGTCTGTCAGGTGATCATAATGGGAGCCACTAATCGTCCTCAAGATTTGGACTCTGCTATTCTGAGGAGAATGCCAACCAGATTCCACATCAACCAGCCGGTACGTACACAGCAGCAGCAACAACAACAACAACAACAACAACAACAACAACAACAACGTTAATGTTCTGTGTTGTTCCTGTAGAGTCTGAGGCAGAGGGAGCAGATCCTCAAACTGATCCTGGAGAATGAGAGCGTGAGTTCACCTCAAACCCCCTCCTCAGTAAGATCAGCAGATCACACTGATCAATCAGTCTATTGATCACGTCTGTCTCTCTGCAGGTGGACCTGTCGGTCGATCTCGTTGACGTCGCCAAGGAAACAGACGGTTTCTCAGGAAGTGACCTCAGAGAGATGTGTCGCGACGCCGCGCTGCTCTGTGTGCGAGACTTCGTCCACACTCAGAACGACAGGTAACGGCATTACCATGACGACACATAATTTGACGTGTTCACAGACCTCTGCCCTGTAGCTACAGTGCCGACCTCTGCCCTGTATCTACAGTCAACTGATGTTGATGTTGTATGACAACTAGTCAACTAACTATAAATACTCTGTGTTTGTCTGTCAGTCCATCAGAGGACTTCATCCGTCCGATCCATCAGTTGGACCTTCAAAAGGCGATCAGTAAGATGAAGAAATCCAAGACGGCAGGCGGACACGGCGCCCTGCTTCATGCTGCTCTGGACTGAACACACACACATTGATCACACAATGACATCAGCCCAGCCCGCAGCCATGGGTTCGATACCTGAGCCGTTCAGAGTGTACGTACTGACCTGCTGTCTCTCTCCATCCTGTGCCACTGCTTCTTTTTGTTTTTATTTGGATCAGCTGATCGTGCTGCTGACGTCCGTCTGTCCGTGACCGCCAAAGGACACAATTCACTGTTACACAGACCGCCAGTGACCTCTGACCTCTCTGGAGTCTGACCGCCTTAAATCCCTTCACATGAAGACTTTAAACACACGTCTGTGAGTTCTTTTTAAACTCCACTGTACAGGAAGTTTAGTTGGGTTTCAAAGTAAAGGTCTGTATATTAGACACTGACAAACATTCTTCAGTATTTTATGTTCAGAGGTCAGAGGTCAAATCAATCATAATCAAACATTAATCACTGTAAATAAATATCAGATTTTTTTCCAAATAACTGATCAGCAGTTTAAATAAAAAGTGACACAGTGAGCCTCAGCAGCCGTTGCTATGGCGACCCCTCCATCCAGAGCTGCTCAAAAAGTTGATTGATTTAAATTTCTGGATTTTTCTGTCTTTAACTGAACTTTTATTGTGAAAATCCTCCCTCAGACTGCTGTGAAGAAGCCCAGTGAATCAGCTGAGGGCTGAAATATAAATATGGTGTACAACTCAGTGATTTCCTGATAATTTTATTGGAAGTTTCCTGTAAAACAGAGACAATGATTCATTGATTATTAATCGCCTTTAAATCAATAAATTCTTCTTTTCCTGAAATGAAACTGATTCAGTGTTGTAAAATATAAATATAATAATATTATTGGTAAATAATTAACATGGGTCGTAAAAGCTTTATCCATTTTAATTCTTTCATTAACAATATTCTATATTTATTTTTGTTAGTTTGACAAAGCAAGTAAGTTTTTACTACATTTTGTCAGTTTGGGAACTGATTTACTTTGAAATTATTAGGAAACGACAGTCCTGAAAAGGTTATATTGGTAATTTACTAATAATTTCACAGAAAGAAATCTTTTGTTAAAGTCTGATTATTAGTTAATTACAGTTTATTGAACCTCATTTATTATATGTTTTGTTATTATTTATACTGGATAGTATAATTGGATAGGATAATTGGATTGGATTGGATAATTGGAACTGGATTTATAGACAGATTTGACTTTTTCTAGCTGTCCAATAATTCCCCAAATTAAAACTAGACCATGTTTAATCAACAGAAATTAATGTAAAATTAAACGGAAACAACTGATTTGTTCTTTATGTTTACACTGTAAAACTGTATAATAAAAGTTGAAGCAGAAAGAAACTGCTGCACAGTGACTTTTCATCAAGTGTTCTTTATTATTATTATTATTATTATTTAGTTTTTATTCTGTGATGGACAGTGAAGCTTCCAATAAGGATTATTTCCTCCATTAATTGTTTGGTTTATAAAATGTCAAACAGTTAAAACTCAAAGATAAAAACTGCAAATATTCAATAATCAGAAACAGTTTTTGTTTTTTCATAAATCTGCCAAATAATTTCAAATTTTCTGATCTGAATACGGGATGATTTATCTTTTTTTACAGTGACGTTATTGGCTGTCGAGTGATGATGTAATAACTGCTGGATGATGTAATAAACATGTCAAACTGTCAAGTTTACTAATTATTTCTCTATTTATTCCAATCACAAACAGTCAATAACATTTTTAATTATAATTCTTTCAGCTGATATTATGATCAATCTTTCTTTATTATC